TCATTAAGGTCCCTCCCAACCCAACCCAATCTAACCCATTCCATAATTTAATGTATTATTGCACGCATTTACCGCAGCCCACATGTTTAACAGACAAGGCAGGTGGGCTCCGTGGTGCAAACAAACGCTCCCGACTCTCCCACCAAATTCCCACCTTCATTCTCCCACCCCTCCCGCAAAGCTCGGGAGCACCGGGACGCGATCCCCCCGCCCTGCAGCCCCCGCAGCCGCCGGCTGAGCAAACAGCCCCATTGTAGGGAAGCTGCTGAGCCATCGCCGCCCCAAAACCGGCCCAAAACCAGCCCGAGCCGTGTTGACAAAAGCCTTTTGAAAAGGCAGAGCCCCCCTGGCCGCGGCTTCCCTGCGTCAGCGATTCCCTCCCCCGCTGGAAGGTGCCAGGCCTGACCCCCCCGACCCCCCCATCGCTCCCAAACCCAGCGCTCCAAACATTAAAACCCGGCTTGATTAATTTAATTTGCCTCGTTTCGCTGCCCTGCTCCTCCAGCTGAGGGGTTATTTTTAAGGAAAGCCCGGAAAGGTGTCCCCTTTCCAGGTGTTTGCAGCTGCATCACTGCTGGAAACGCCACCAAACCGGGCAGCAAACCCCCTAAAATTAAATGCGAGGATTTATCCCTTCCTAGTTTTCTCCCCTCTTTATTTCCCCGAGTAATATATAAATATATATTATACATACATAAATATTATGTCCAAACTTCGGGATCACTAAGCAGGGAAAAATCCAAGGCTGCTCTATTGGCTCCCCGTCCCAACCTCCAGCTCAGGTGTGGGTTAAACCCCTCCACTTTTCGCCTCACTCTCTGCCCAATTCCTTCCCTTTTAACCCCAAAGCCCTTGCCGGGGGTGCCGCCCTTACCCCCGGTGCTGTGCCGGTGATGGCTCTTCCCGTCTGTGCCCGCCGGGCTCGGCTCCCACCGGACTTTTCCCGGCGGATAAACGGAGCCAACGTCACTGGGGAGGGATAACTGGGCTTCAATGGGCTGGAAAACGCCGGGCCAGCGGCTTCGGGGAGACAGCAAAGCGTTGGCTGGGATGACCTGGGGGGTGGGGGGAGGTTGAGGGTGCAGGAGGACAAAATAAAATTAAATATATCGGGAGTTTTACCTCGTGGAAGAGAAATATGCAGAGGATGGAGCTGGCCCACCACGGTGCTTATGGATAAATAGGGATAAATAGTCACTGAAGGCTGGAAAAGCCCTAAACCAGTCCAATATTCCCCCCAAATCCTCCAGCAATTTAGTTGTGAGTCTCCAAATCTGCAGGATAGGGACCATTTCTCCTTGGGAAGCTTCTCCACTGGGACTCAGGCAGGTTTTGCTCTTCTCCCTCTTCACTCCCAGCCCCCATGGAACCCGTTCCCGTGCTATTTCTATCCACAAATTGCTTTAGTTTGGACAAACCAGGCTCCAACTCAGGGGTTTTATTCCGTATTAAGTTGCTACATATTTTATTTTCTTGTTAATCCACGCAGCAATGCCACAATCATCCTTCAAACACATAAAAGGCTCCTCTCGCTGTACAACACTTTCCTGAACACGTGTTAGAGGTGGAAAAGGTACCATTAAAATTAAAATTAAAAAAAAAAAAAAAAAAAAAAAGGAGTTGTAAAGATACATTGCAAAAACTCAAAGGGAGGGAGAAAGTCAGAGTTTTAGTTCACATCGAGGTATAAATTTGATATTGCTGGTTTAGCCTGGGAGGAAAGAAGGTTTCTCCAGGTGATGGTGGTAACAGAGCCAGTCTGGTTTCACCAGGATAACGTGCTGGCACTGCTGGAAGATGGATTTGGGAATTAAAATCCTCTTTATTTCTGTCTCCTCCTCCTGTCTCCCTCCCTTTCCATCCAGCATCCCTTGAGATGCCCCCAACTATCCCTGCGAGTGCTATTTGGCATTTACAGCTACCAGAGAGGTTTGACATCGTGGTTTCCTTAAAAATCCCTAATATTAGTGCAAATTAGAAAGGGGGAGGGAGGGGGGGTGACGCGACCAGGTGCAGGTTTGGGGAAGGCGGGGGAAAAACGAGATTTACTCCCCTCGCTGGAAAATCCACCGGGCCAGGGTTAAACCTCCCCCACTGAGAAAAATCTCAGCCAACCCTTTGGATTTACAAAAACCTTCCCATCACCTGCGAATTATTGCAACTAGAAATGTGCTTTTCTTAAGGAGAGGGGGGGGGAAAAAACAAA